TTAATGTTGTTTTTTGATCCAGTTTTTTCTAGTTGGGTTCATGTTATCAAAAAAGCGCCAGCCATAAATTGTTCTTGAAATTTAACGAGTTTAAAGTGCATCAGTTTTTTTTTCTTCTTTGCTGATTTTTGTCGGATTACGTCCCGAAGGTAGGTTCGTTTTCTTTAAAGTCTTTTGTGAGCTCTTTGGAAAGTTTTTTTTTTATCCAGGTAGTTTTGTTCCAGGAATTTTTTGTCTTTTTTTGCTATTTTTTTAAAAACTTTTTTAACAAACAAAGGATTTGAAGTTTTTCAAGTTTTGATTTTGCTTTTCATTTGCTGGTAATCATCGTCATTCATTTTTGTTTCCCAAGTGATGCGAAGCTCTGCATCGCTGCTGCTAGTAAAATTCATCTTAAAAAATTTATTTACACTTGTGATTTACACTGTCTTGTAATTGGGAACGAGACTTTTTTTTCCCCGCAAACCAATTTTCTTACAATACTTTTAGAAATTTAAGTTGCTTTAGTCGTGAACTTTGGCAACTTCAAGAATGCTTTTCACTTGGTCTAGAAGTACCGCGGCTGCCTTCGCACCCTAAGGTCTAGGGTTCGAGTCCCGATCGGGCCTTGTTCTTTTTGCAGTATGTATGAAATTATGTATTTTTCGGGAAAATTAAATAGTTGGATTTTTCGTCGTCTGCTTTTGTTTTGTCGGCTTAGTGGGCACTAGGTCGAAACGTAAAATTTATTTAATGATGTTTGTTTTTTGGACTGTTTTTCTGAAATTTTTTTCTAAATTTAAAATCAAATTTGTTACTTCCTTCTGATTTCCATGTGTTGCTAGTTTTCAATGCTGCGCTTAATGTGTATCTCAAGTGGTGCGGAGCTCTGCATCGCCTCTGGTCTAAATGTATTTTGATATTTTAAACTGCAAAAAGTCTGAACTGATTTTTGCATTCTTTTTCCCCATGCAAATGGTAATTTTTCAAGGACGGAACTTGTGATTTTTGTAAATTGTATTGTGTTTTTTCAAGATGGTCAGCTGGAAAAGAGTCGGACGAATACTTAATGTCTAAATTAATTTACAATACAACTGACAGTGCAACTTATTGTCTCATCTTTTGCATTTATTTGATTTGTCATTTTCCATATGTAAATATGTATTTCTCAATATTCGAAATATCTCGGGGGAGTAAATTCGGCCTATTAGTATTTGTGCCTATTAGCATGCCCATGTTAAAGAACGCAGTTGACTCGCGCACTATTTAAAGGTTTATGTACTGAAACTTGTTCACCCAAATAACGTGCTTTTTGCCGGTTGTTAAATTAGGTAAAATTAATTGTTAATTCCGCGAACGAATCAAGTGATTTTAAAAACTGAATTAAAATTTAGGCTAATTACACCTGCGAAAACAAGTGCATTGTAATCGGGAACGGGGGCTATTCTCATGCGCGAAGGACCGAATGCGCGAAAAATCTTGTGTGCGAAAAACCGAAAACAAAATTAGCCGAAAGTCAATTTTTAAAAGGAAGCAGTTGCCCTTAAATTAAAAAAAGTAAATGAAGAAACAGTTTGCTTCTTTCATTACGAAACCCTTGAAATGTAAAATTTGTATTGTGATCTCAATACCCCAGTCCCTGGAAATGTTTACTTTCTTTCCAAATTTTAGATTACTGATATCTGATTGGCTAATTTATATTTTCGCGCATTCGGACCTTCGCGCATGAGGGATTTCACCATCGGGAACTAGACTTTTTTTCCCCTTAAACAACTTTTCTTACAAATTTTCAACATGCTTTTTTATTGAATCTTAACAACTTCCAAGTCCCTTCTCACTTAGTCTAGAGGTAACGCGTCGCCTTCGCATCCTGAGGTCCGGGGTTAGGATCCCCGTCGGACTTTGTTTTATCATAATATATGCAATTGAAAGAAAAATTTTTGGTAAAAATTGATTTGTCGGATTTTCGTTTATCTGTTCAAGTTTTGTCGGCTTAGTATGTCGTCTAGCTATTTTTGATTGGAACAGTTCCTTGTTGATAAAAACATGTATATTAAATTTAAGGGATTCGCTCTTTTAACTTTTTTGAGACGATTTTCTAAAATTCTTGTTAAATTCTATTCTTTTGAAAACTTCGATTATCAAATTTTTAACCTAAACATCATTTTTCAACGCCTTAGAATTTTGGACAAATAAATTTTTTTTAGTCGATTTCTTTCGGCAATTCCTTTGAACTTTCGGGTCTTTCCCAAAGTAGCCTCCCAGCCTATTAAGAAGATAATACGTTTTTTATAGAACCACCTCACTGATTTAACTAATATGGGGGGACGGGGCTTTATTTTTATTTTGCTGGGGGAGGAACTATTATGAGAAATACTCGAAATTACGATTCACAAAGATGCCGATTGGTTTTTTCGTCAATCAAGGCGAAGTAAATGATTGGACCAAATGAGCAATCTCCCTCTAATTCAATTGTTGTTGTTGTTGTTGCCTAGGTGCCCGTAGTTTGGCCCTCCTCTTGTCCCTCATTTGTGGCTTCTTCTGTATCGAGTTGCAGGAAAGCAGCTGCTTCGATCGGGTTTTCCCAGAGTGCGTGGGGGGTGATTGTAGTCGGGTTTGCGCTGCACCTGAATAGGTGACCCGTTGTGTGGGTTTCTGAGTTGCACTGTGGGCATGTTTCTGGGGTTGATTCATCTAGTCTGTGTAGGTAGCTTTGTAGGAATGGGGAGTAGCCGCTCCGTAACTGGGCAAGGGTCCGTCTAGTACCTCTCGGCAGTCGTAATTCATCCTTGCTCAGTTTGGGGGCTGGTTCGTCGAGCACTTTGTTGTTGTCCCGGTTGTCTAGGGCGTCTTTGACCTCATTTGTGTGCACTTTTTTGAGGAGCCCTCTGTAGTCCTCTTCGGTAACGTGCGTGTCGTCGTCTTCTTCTGAATCGGATGTTTCGAGGAGTGCAGTGATGTACCTCTCGTACCTGCTGAAGAGCGTTTCCTTCATGTTTCTGGGCGGTTCCGGTCGGTCTAGCAGCCTGTTGCCAGGGTGTCCTTCGAGATGATGGGCTAGCTGGTGCTGGACTGCTTTCATACGAATATGCCGCCTGACAGGTAGAATTTTCGTCTCGTCGTGCAGGTGCTGGATAGCGGTCATCGTGGTGCATCCTGTGGCCACTCTTAGGGCTGAGTTTTGGACTTTCTGCAGCGTTTCTACGTGGGTCTGTGCAGCGATCGGAGTCCAGACTGGTGATGCGTACTCTAAGACGGGCCTGATGAAGGCTTGGTAGGCTACTATGAGGGTTTCCTTGCTCTGTCCCCAGGTAGTTCCTGCCAGCGCTTTCAAGATATTCACTCTGCTCCTTCCTCTAGCTGCGGCTAGTTTGCAGTGTGGGCCGAATGTCAGGGCTGTATCGAAGGTGACGCCTAGTATTTTTGGTGTTTTCGCTAGAATGAGGGCTTTCCCGTTGATCTTCACGTCTGGTGTGATTTTGTGTTCTTTGGTGCTGGGCGTGAAGAGCGTGACGGAACATTTCGGTGTTGAAATCTCCAAATCTCTAGAGTCTAGAAAATTGCAGAGCGTCGTCAGGTAGCTGTTGATGTCTTTGCTTAGTGTCTCTATGTCGGTCCCAAGGGCGAAAACTGTGAAGTCGTCAGCATAGGATACTAAGAAAATTGTCGGTGGAGGCATTGGAGCATCTGCCACGTAGAAATTGAACAGCGTAGGAGCCACAACCGATCCTTGTGGAACTCCAAATCTGACAATACGACTGCTTGACACCGTGTCTCTGAACAGTGTGCGGGCCTGTCTACCGTGCAGGTACGTGGCTAACCAGCGTACAAGTGCTCCTGGAAGCGTGGAATCGTTAATCAGCTTGAGGAGGGTAGCGTGACACACAGTATCGAAAGCTTTCGAGAGGTCTAATGCAACGAGAACAGTACGGGCAGCGGGTTTTCGTTGATTGAAGCCGTCTGTGATTACAGTTGATAGCTCATTGAGCGCTGTGACTGTTGAGTGTCGCGGTCTGAAGCCGTGTTGATGTTCTGCCGTCTTGAGGTGTTTCTGGAGTATCGGGAGAAGGCACTTCTCGAGTATCTTGACTGCGGGGCAAAGAAGTGATATCGGCCGGTACGAGGCACTCTCATTGGCGGGTTTTCCTGGCTTCAGTAGTGGAATAATGATAGAAGTCTTCCAGATGGCGGGTATTTGACTTCTTGAAATCGACAGGTTGAACGTGCTCGTCAGATGTTCTATGGCTTTGGGTCCCAGGTGTTTAAGATGGATCATTGTGATGCCATCTGGGCCTGTGGCTTTCGAGTTTTTCGCTTTCTTCAGTGCCTTGATCACCTGGGTTGTGGTGATTGTCGGATGGTCTTCGAGGGACCTGTTTTGGATACTCTTGGTGATGGTCCTGTAGGCTTGCGACGTCGTGTGGGGCCTCGGGGTGGTGAACTGCTTGTTGAATCTGTGTGCCAGGTCTTTTGCGGAGGTGAACGTCTTCTTCCTCTTTTTCCCCTTGAACTTGATAGGCTGGTTTCTCCGCTGTTTGCTCGTCTTGTTGTCCAGCGCTTTTATCGTCCTCCAAAGTTTTGCTGCGTCGGTCCGGTGGTCGAAACTGCTGACGAACTCCCTCCATTTGGCTGTTTTGCTCTGTCGGATGGCCATTTGAATGCGGTTGTTCAGAATCTCGATCTCCGGTGAAGTCGGGTCATGAGAGCGGATGTTGTCACGCTCGATGATCCATCTGGAAGCTGACTCCGGAAGCTGACTCCTGAATTCAATTCAGGGTGGAGATCGTTCACTTGGTTTGAAGCAATCTTTTTTAGCTAATCAGAATTGCAAGCTAGGTTACTGTTGAAGTTTGCAGCTCGCTTTCTGAGGGGTGATCGTTCATTTGGTTAATTTAGGGGGGGGGGGGGTTGTTTGGGTCAAAAGCGGCCAATATCCTAATAACTAGCGATTTTTTCGAAAATTTGGACCATACATTTTATACTGTCAAATCATTTTATCTGTTTTGCTGTGTAATTTGTAGCTGCTGGTTGTCTGTATCTGGCCTGCCGCAATGAGCAGATCCCCCTTCTTCTTCTGGACTTCAGTGACCAGCTGGAAGAGACGGTGGTTGACCTGAGTCAGATGTACATCAGGATAGCAAGGGAGTTGTGCATCAATCCACCCTCTGCTGATCCATGCATTTACATCGAACGATTCTGCGAAAAGTAAAAGGCCATTTTCATAATCCACGGCATATTTTTGTTCGACTTGCATGTAGTAGTTGTAGAAAACTTCAATTTCTGGCTAAGGGAACCATCGATCATAAAATTAATGAGAACAAATTATGGCCCTTCATTGAAAATAAAAACTTAAGAAAATTAAAAAATGAAATAAGACAAAATATATTGTTAAAGCAATGCATTGACGATATCTACATTTTAAATACCAGATACCGAATTGTAACAATTTTTCAGTGGATCGTAACATGTAGTTCATTCTATCCACATTAGTGTGTGTACATTCTTAATTTTTAAAAAAGTTTCATGCAACACAAAGATAATTAAATTGTCAAATGGTTAGCTAATAGAAACTTAATCTGAAATAAACATAAAATATTTCAAGAGATAAGCCTGAGTGAAAGACAAAATATAAAATGTGCATTACACGTTAATCTTTCGGCTAAAATATTTGTTTTCATTTTTCTTTTTTTAAACTTTTGATCTAGTTATGAGTTATATTGTGCTGATTGCATTTATCCGGACAAAAACATTAAACTAGAAACTTGAAACGCGTTTTTTTTTTCAAATTGGGCTGAGTTTAGTTCAGAAATGATGAAGACCAAACTTGCTTAAAGTAGAATTAATATAGTGAAATTTGTTTTGCGAAATTGGAGCCGAAAAATTTTACCCCAAAAATGGATCATTTTTGGCTTTTTTAGCCAATCAAAAAAATGCCAAATCTATTTGGTCGATCACTGACTTAATTATATCAAAATTAGCTTCTTACGTATCTCAACAAACTTTCAGAAGGATATAATCTCAAAAAATTGAGGAGTTCGTTCAAAAATTGTTTTTAAATAAAAAAACTGGTGTTTTATATAGTAAAAACAACCTTTTCTGTCTATCAAACAAAATTAAATTAATTTACACTTTGTTTTGGAGAATATATTCCTCTAAGTTTCTTGGGTTTTGGGATTCGTATGAGGCGAATTTTGATATAATTAGGTCAGTCATCGACCAAGTAGCTTTTGCGTAATTTTTGATTGACTAAATAAGCCAAAAATGATCCATTTGTGGAGTAAAATGTTGGGCCCGAATTTCGCAAAACATATTGCACCATGTTATTACTTTAAATTTTAAGAGAGTTTTGTTTTCATCATTTTTTAAACCTTTAATCAATCCAATTTGAGAAAAATGCGTTTGTAATTTGAGTTAAATGCGTTTTGTCCGGATAATTTAAATCAGCACTAGTATAAGGAACCACGTGTATAACACTATTGAATCGCTTTTGCTGTTCCAGATTGGATTTCGGTCAGGAGACGAAGGATGTGTCTATGACCTCGATGCGGATTCTCTCTCGCATGAAGAGGGACTGGATAGCCGCTGGCAGGAGACCTTTTGGTCTGTGCGGGGCCAGTATTTACATGGGTAAGAACAAACAAAAAAAAACAATCACTGAAACAGCTAGTTATAACTAGAGATGCAACCGGAATTGATTTTGCCGGAATTCCGGAACCGGAATTACTAACTGCCGGATTCCGGAATTCGTTTATAGTGCTGATGAATAATGATATGTTCCCGTTGCTACAACATCGAAGGGTCAAGATACAACCCAGCCAACTATTCAGATGGCGTTCCAGGCAACTAAAAAATGGAGTTTTCACCATGAAAATGCAAAAAAAATCCATGTGTTGATTGGCAAAATGATTGCAACTGACTGCCAACCACTGTCTATGGCTACGGATAGAGGATCCAGCAACGTCATCTCCGTTAAACGGAACAGACTGACTCCGGAGTTTTCGGGAAAATAGGATTTACTCCATGATAGCATTCCACTTTTGAATCAATAATTCAAATGTTTGAAAGTTCGTTTTTTTGATTGGAAATGATAGTAAAATTGAGCACAAAATTCCGGTATTTTCCGGTGTTTTTTTACCGGATTCCGGAACCGGAATTCACTGTAAAATCAGCCGGAATTCCGGAATACGGCGCATCTCTAGTAATAACTCATAGCTGTAATTTGAATTTTTAATTCAATTCAAGGCATCCGAAGCTTTGTGTTATAATACGTGGCCAAATTTTTTTTTCAAATTCAAGTCACACATTTCATTGCGCAGCTTATATTTTTGGATTTGAACAGTTTGACCTGTAATTAAAGAGCATTTGTTGTTGTTGCTGTTTTCCCCCAACAGAGGAGCGTGAAAAGCATGAGTGACTGCTTAGTTAGCGTTGCGATTATTACCCAGATAATTTTACCTGGTAGATTTGTTTAGAAATATTTTGGATTTTTCGCTCGTCCGCGAAGTACATGTTCGCTTCTGTTAAATATTCCAAGATGAAACTGGCGAGAAAAAAGTCAAGCTGCCGTATCATGCGAGGTGTTTGCTTAATTTCATCTTTATTGCAGGTGCTAAACTACATGGCTTTGACCGGAGTCTGGCGGAGATTGTGAAAGTGGTGGGCGCTCAAGCGGGCACAATGACCAAGAGGTTGAAGGAGTTCGCCAAGACAGCCTCCAGCAAACTGACAATCGAAGAGTTCTACTTGGTCGACCTTGAAGTAAATATGTAGATTGCACCAATTGTTTATTAAGATCAACCTTTTTTAAACATCAGTTTCTAACGCGCTCTATAGTTTTGTCAGTCTAAAGGTTCCCAAAAGATTGCTCTATTAAAAGCTTATATTGCTACTTGAGAAAAATTTCAACAGTTGCTCAGTCAAAAATGCTTATCGTTAATTTGTTTTCAAGGCAGGGTTGGGAAAACCAGGCAAAAAAAAACACGTTCTAAAGCAAAAAAAAACAGTGCTTTATTTACACTTGCGAAGCGAGTGTATTAGTACGAATCTTCTTTTTTTCCAACCTAAGTCGCAAATAATGGTGCCAATTTAAGGGCATCTTAAAGCTTTTTCATAGCATGAGCTTTGACATTTGAATAGTAGTAAGTTAACACAGTCGATGCGTTTTTAATTAATCAAGTTAAGCGAAAAAAGTTATTTATTTCAAACAACAACAACAACATGAAATTTCGATTTCAGAAATTTTCTAACTCAATATATCTCGCAATTTTTTCAGCTGCATAATTTATACGTAATGTTTTTAGCCACTTTTATATGCTACTGCTTTGCGATTTGTTCCATGCAAAGTTAGTGTGGATGCCTTCAGTTTGTTATATTCCAAATTATTAAATGCAAAATTGAGCATATACAAGGCAATTCATTAGCATATATAGCTGCTTTATTCGAGACTAGTGTTTGTCAGGTGTTACGCTTGCGTAGCTAAGTGGATAGTGTGTGAGACTCAAAATCTCTTGATTGCAGTAGGTTGCAGATCGAATTCTAAACCTAGCCGAGTTTTTGCTAATTCGAGGCTTATTTCTACTCTTTCTTATTTCACTTGATAGAGCTGCTTTTTGATCGTGTTCTCGCAAGTGTTTGCGAAGCGCAGCTTCGCCTCTGTGTTTAAAATGCTCGCTCTGCGGTATTAGAAAGATTTCACTCAACGACAGGAAATGACTTATGAAAAGTTAAAATACCTAATTGGAGGCTGAAAAATGTGGAAAACTTGAATTCTCTACCGCGAACTGACCAAACTGTGAAAAAAACCAATGAAGCATGTTTTTTAAGAGTAATGAGCGTTATTAAAAACGCGCTGTTGAATTAATTGTTTCGATTAAAAAAAATCTTTTTTCCACAGCACTATTCAAAGATAAGCTGCTGACACTCGTTACTGTAGATGATGATCGCATAGAATCTTCCAAGAGGTGTTTTGGTCTCTATTATCGGATTTTTTTTATTGAATAAAAGTCTGTAAATTCCCTCCTTCTGTGAATTTTTACATTTTTCACGTCCGATTGTAATGAAATTTGAGGTGCGCTCACATTAACAATAATCCAAACATATTCTCTCTACGGGTGAAGCCAGAAAAAATAGATGCACTCCACATCACGCAGATTTAATTTCAGGAGGAGCATGATCCGCCTTCATTCCACGAAATGCGCGCTAAACGCGGAATTAATTTCCCAGAGTTCAACGAGGAAGAGTTTCAGCGTCTGGACACAGAGATAGAACGTAATATTGAACTTTGCAAATCACAGAAGCACAGTCTTACCAAATTAGATTCTGTGCTCGGAAGGCATTCAGGTTAGTACAACTCATAAACTAGTGACATTATTGAATTTAAAAAAAAAACTTGAAAGATTAAGTATTTTTCATTTTCTGCTCATTGCGAGGTTGTGCATTTTATAGCAGCAATGGTACAAGTGCCTTGATATGGCTTTGTCTTAGCTTTATTATCAAATTAATTGATTTTTAAAAATTAATTTAGATGACTGGCGTATTGTTTAGGCTCGAGATTAAGAAACGTTATCAAATCCGAGTGAAGACTTTTTCGGGTTGCTATTTTTTTTTCTATAAAGGAAGTTTTCCGCGTGACAAAAATTCTTTCATTTGTATGCTTATTTTTGTCGGCTTAATTGCCACCCCGACGAATTTGCCTACGAATTAAGCCTTATTTGCTGCTTTTGAAAATCTTATAAATGTATTCCGGTTATGTGCTAATAATTGTCTTCCAAAAAATGTAGGCGAGTTTCTCGATATGTTAACTCTTGCTGTTACCAAGCGTTATTAAATTAGAATATAGTTTTTTTCGGGTTAACAACTTGTTTAGCAGAATCAGTTGGTATTTTCGTTCATAATGAACTCAAGTTTCTAAGCGGCTCCGGCACACTTAGTTTGAAGGTAACGAATACGCCTGGGACGGCAAAGTCCTGGGCTCGAATCTGACCAGGACCTGTTTCTTTTTTTTTCAAACGGGAAATTGTCCGTTTCAAAAAAATTGTCGGCTGATTATTTGTATGCTTATGTTTTATCGGCTTAGTTGCCACATCTTAGAATTGTTTGCTGTATGCAGTTTTCATTGTAGTTGCTTCTTAAGTTTTCTCTTGCTCCTGCAATTTGTAATTCTACTAACCTTGATTTCGTATATTTTCCTGTTTCTATTTTTTTCGCTTAAGAACTTTTTTGGCCTAAATAATTTCGGCTTAGATTTTATCGGCTTACTCGCCTATTTTTGAATCGTTCGAGGGAACCATAGCTTGTATGCTTTCATCCGAAATGAACAAAACGTTAAAATAGGATTTATAATTCCAAGTTTTTCTTGACAACAATCTGCTTAAAAACCTAGCACCAAACAGACTTAGTTAGTTTTTTTCAGTTTCAGGAGAAATTAGAAAATAAGTCTTGAGTCTCAAGCGGGTCTTTATAGCCTTTCAAAAGGTAATCGGTCAATCAGTTAACCATTTAATCCTAACTAGAACCGACCGCAAAGTTTTCAAACGTGCGCTCTTTGATTGCTAGTTGCCAGTTAATGGCCAATCAGTAGGCGAGCGTAAATTCATGCATTTATAAACAAAAGCAGGTGAATTTTTTTCTTTTGCTTTGTTTGTTTTTGTTCTGAATGTCGAAAAAAGTGACACTTATTTGTTCTCGGGGTATTATTTTTGTCCCTTCGATTTTTTAACTAGCCATTTTTGACGGAATTCTTTTTGAGTCAGCCAAAAGGTATCCCTGTTTTAACATCTTAAAAAAATTCTCCTATCTTAGAACTTCTTATAAAAACTTCTTTCAAAAATCAAAAAAAAAATTGCCGAAAAAGTGTTTCTATAATTTAAAAACAGGTAAAAATCAATGAAAGAAAATTTTCGTTTCTTTTCCAAATTTATGCATGTAAACCGTTTCAGAAAGTATTTTCTACGCTTGAGATTAGCAAGTGTTATCAAACTGGAATATATACTTTTTCGGATTAAAAACTAGTTTAACCGAATCACTTGAATCAATTAGTAGCTTGCTTTATTAATGAAGTTAATTTTTATGAAAATGTGGGTCCAGTAGTGTGGTGGTAAATATCAAAGAGCGGGGATATGTCGCGAAAGATCAAATGTTGGAATCCGAGACCATGCCAGTTTTTTTACGAGCCGATGAACATAGTTAAGACTCTTGGAAGAGTCGATGAGTTTTTCGTTTTTTTTTGCAGCAAATGTCTTAAAATTTATGCAGGCTCAAGTTTACTTTTTCGCGGTTTGACTTTTTAAATCCTTGCGATGAGCAAGGGTATTGCAATCGGGTACTGTACGTTTTTGTTTTTTGAATTTTTGACTTCGTCGCTTTCGGTTCATTTTTTGTTGGCTTAGTTTCCGCTTTGTTTTTATCATCCAACTACATCGCTTATTTGAATAAAATTTACGTAGGTTAAATATAATTTACGTAGGAAGGCTAAATACATTTTTGAATAAAGGTTGTAAATATACAACGTAATTTTTAAAACTTCTTGTTAATCAATTTTTCGACCAAATTTATCGCCTTTAATGCTCAATTTTTTTAAAAATAATAATTCTTTTTTTCTTCAATTATTTAACTTTTCTTTTTTGTTTTTTATTCAAGAGGCTAAATGTAAACTATGTAAATCATCAGCTTTATTACACGCTAAAATTTTCTCGTAAACAAACAAACAATATGATTTTTTCTGTCGGAAATTTTTTTGAATTTAGTTTTCAATTTTTCGGATTTATGGTTTCTGATTGTTTTTGTTCTGAAAATGCGTGCAGCTAGTCTTAGTTTTATTTAGTTTGGTGTGTTTTATGATCATAAAATTTGTTTGAAATTGATTCAATAGCAAATTGCTTTAATATGTCAAAAGTTTTTCTCGAAAAAATTGTTTATTTGGCATTTTTTTTGCATTTTTGACATGACTGTGTCTACGAAAGTATGGCGAGTGTCTTACGATATTAAAGAATTTGAATCTTTCCGGCTGTTAAGTTTTGAAAATAAAATTTGCTGTTTTTTATTTCCTCAAATAGCGTATTTTTTATTGCAAGTTTTCTCATAAGCTATTCAATTTTGATAAGTTTGATGCCTTTGGGATGTTTTTATAGATTATCGAATTTTTCATAGGTTTTCTGCAAGTTGTTTTTTTTTGGACAATTTTGTTTTCATTTTGCAGTCCTTTTGTTGAACTTCTGGTGTTTTAATTTCGTTTTTCATTTTAATTTGAGTTTGTAGCAAGCAGCGTATAGGGCCTTTTCTTTTACTCTAGTTTCCTGTAGGTTGTTTGGTTGTATGCAGGTTGTTTGGTTGTATGAATTAAGCAAAGATTTTGAATTCAATTAGGAATTTTTTGATTATTTGCCCGAGTTTTTTCTTATGTTTTCCGTCTTTTTATGAGAAAGAAGTGGAAGACTTTGTGTAGCCCCAATCCTTCTTATGTTTTAGGCAAATGATTTCTATAAGAATTAAAATAAGATTTTTCTTCGTTTTTTGTCTACGTTTTTTTCAATAGATTTTTTTCTTACTTTTCGTTTGAAACCTATGTTTTGAACTTTGACATTTTGTATTGCAAGAGATGCAAAACTCAGCTTCGCCTCTGTGTAAAATATCAAATACGTACCTCCAGCTTTAGGTGGGCTTTATTTATTTTTTATCGAGACAAACGAAAGTTTTGGTCCCCCAATTTTTTTTAAAACATTTTGAATTTTTTTCGGCGTTTTTTATTTGTTGTATTGGAAGTGACGCAAAGCTCCGCTTCGCCACTGTGTTACACTTGCGACAGGAAATGTCTAGTAATCATGATTTATACTGTTATTCCTGTAAACAACTTCTTTGACAAATCTGTAAGAAATTGAACTTGCTTTATATTCATTTTTAGAAACATCCAGGATTTTTCACACTCTGAAATGACAATGTTGTCTTTGAATCCTAAGGTTATGGGTTCGATTTCCGGCCGCACCTTGTTTTGTTTCAGTATTTATAAAATTGTAAAAAATAATCCGGAAAAAACTGAATTGTCGGACTTTCGTTTGTCTTTATGTTTTGTCGGCTTAGTTGCCAAATTGCGGGGTTTTCTTGTAGAAATTTTGCAAGTGTTTTTGTTGTGTTCTTGTTCTTACACTCGCAAGCTTGCGAATGCAATGTATATTTACGAACCTTTTTTTGCTAACCTAGCTTGCAATAAAAGTATTGCTTGAAAGTTTAGTGTTCACTGATTTTTGCTATAATCACGGTCTGTAGCATTGGAGATTTTATAGCCTCTGTTCTCTGCTTTGTTTGTGGCTAGTATATGTGATTTATTTAGCGCCCGTTGGTTTGTGCGTGAGACTCATAATCTCCAAGTCGCAGATCGAATCCGAAACGTAGCCGAGTTTTTACTAATTCGAGGCTTGTTTCTAATTTTTCTTATTGCAATTTAAAGAGCTGCTTTTTGTCGTGTTCTCGCTAGTGTTTGCGAAGACACTTATTATTTAACTTTTCTTTTTTTTTTTTTTCAAGAGGCTAAATGTAAACTATGTAAATCATCAGCATTATTACACGCTAAAATTTTCTCGTAAACAAACAAACAATATGATTTTTTCTGTCAGAAATTTTTTTGAATTTAGTTTTCAATTTTTCGGATTTATGGTTTCTGATTGTTTTTGTTCTGAAAATGCGTGCAGCTAGTCTTAGTTTTATTTAGTTTGGTGTGTTTTATGATCATAAAATTTGTTTGAAATTGATTCAATAGCAAATTGCTTTAATATGTCAAAAGTTTTTCTCGAAAAATGTTTATTTTGCATTTTTTTTGCATTTTGACATGACTGTGTCTACGAAAGTATGGCGAGTGTCTTACGATATTAAAGAATTTGAATCTTTCCGGCTGTTAAGTTTTGAAAATAAAATTTGCTGTTTTTTATTTCATCAAATAGCGTATTTTTTATTGCAAGTTTTCTCATAAGCTATTCAATTTTGATAAGTTTGATGCCTTTGGGATGTTTTTATAGATTATCGAATTTTTCATAGGTTTTCTGCAAGTTGTTTTTTTTGGACAATTTTGTTTTCATTTTGCAGTCCTTTTGTTGAACTTCTGGTGTTTCAATTTCGTTTTCATTTTAATTAGAGTTTGTAGCAAGCAGCGTATAGGGCCTTTTCTTTTACTCTAGTTTTCCTGTAGGTTGTTTGGTTGTATGAATTAAGCAAAGATTTTGAATTCAATTAGGAATTTTTTGATTATTTGCCCGAGTTTTTTCTTATGTTTTCCGTCTTTTTATGAGAAAGAAGTGGAAGACTTTGTGTAGCCCCAATCCTTCTTATGTTTTAGGCAAATGATTTCTAAAAGAATTAAAATAAGATTTTTCTTCGTTTTTTGTCTACGTTTTTTTCAATAGATTTTTTTCTTACTTTTCTTTTGAAACCTATGTTTTGAACTTTGACATTTTGTATTGCAAGAGATGCAAAACTCAGCTTCGCCTCTGTGTAAAATATCAAATACGTACCTCCAGCTTTAGGTGGGCTTTATTTATTTTTTATCGAGACAAACGAAAGTTTTGGTTCACCTAGTTTTTTTTAAACATTTTGAATTTCTTTCGGCGTTTTTTATTTGTTGTATTGGAAGTGATGCAAAGCTCCGCTTCGCCACTGTGTTACACTTGCGACAGGAAATGTCTAGTAATCATGATTTATACTGTTATTCCTGTAAACAACTTCTTTGACAAATCTGTAAGAAATTGAACTTGCTTTATATTCATTTTTAGAAACATCCAGGATTCTTCACACTCTGAAATGACAATGTTGTCTTTGAATCCTAAGGTTATGGGTTCGATTTCCGGCCGCACCTTGTTTTTTTTCAGTATTTATAAAATTGTAAAAAATAATCCGGAAAAAACTGAATTGTCGGACTTTCGTTTGTCTTTATGTTTTGTCGGCTTAGTTGCCAAATTGCGGGGTTTTCTTGTAGAAATTTTGCAAGTGTTTTTGTTGTGTTCTTGTTATTACACTCGCAAGCTTGCGAATGCAATGTATATTTACGAACCTTTTTTTGCTAACCTAGCTCGCAATAAAAGTATTGCTTGAAAGTTTAGTGTTCACTGATTTTTGCTATAATCACGGTCTGTAGCATTGGAGATTTTATAGCCTCTGTTCTCTGCTTTGTTTGTGGCTAGTATATGTGATTTATTTAGCGCCCGTTGGTTTGTGCGTGAGACTCATAATCTCCAAGTCGCAGATCGAATCCGAAACGTAGCCGAGTTTTTACTTATTCGAGGCTTGTTTCTAATTTTTCTTATTGCAATTTATAGAGCTGCTTTTTGTCGTGTTCTCGCTAGTGTTTCCGAAGAGCAGCGTCGCCTCTTTGATTATAAATTTAATAGCCCTGACTTTGTATATTTTATTTTTTGTTTTTTCTTTCGCTTAAAACCTTCATTCGGCTTAAATGTTTTCTGCTCATGTTTTTTCGTTTTATTTGCCGTGATTTGTGTGTTTGTGTGGCTTCAAGGGCAAAAAACAATTGATTAAAAATGAGGTAGCTTACCCTGCCAAAGTTCAAAGTCTTAAAATTGAATCTTAGAAAAAGTTTGTTTATCTACTTTTTTATGGCATTTTTTTGTTTTCGTCTCAATGAGCGTCTTAGAGCGGCTGTTTTTTTGCCAAATGAATGCTTTGTTGGCTTACTGGCCACTTGTTCAAAAAAGTCTTATTTAACACTGCTCGTTGTGTTTCTGGACTATTTTTCCGAAGTTTTTTTTTCTTCATTTCATAATCTTATTTTTGCGAAGAATTTGTTAGTTCCATTTCTTCTGACATTCGCTAGCTTTGCCTCTGTGTGAATAAATTTCGCTGTCCTTTCATCTGAGAAAATTTTAACGCTTGCTATAAGTTAGCTTTCTCAAATGGGAACATATTAAATCGGGGAAAAACTTGAAATCAAAATTCGGGTAAAAATCTTGTTTTTACAGAATCATTGATACAATTAAATGCTTTGCTTATAAATGTTACAATTTCGGTAAAAATTGAATTTTCTGACTAATGTATTTGCTATTTTTCCTGCGTAAATTTTATAGCACGGAGTTTTCCAGAAGTTATTACTGGGTTAAAATGGCATTTTTCAATTTCATAATAGTGCAGGTGATTGAGTTCCAGTGTTTTTTTTTATGTAGTTTCCGTATTTTTTTTTGCTAAATTTTTTCAGATTTTTTTTAATTTTCGTTTTGTTAATTTACTTTTGTTGCGTTACTATAAGAAATGAAATCAATGGACTCCGTTTTTTACCTCCACTTATTAATTATGACTTTTCGCGTGTTGAACTGTTTTGTTGTTTTTTAGGTAGGTTGTACAGAAAAGAAGATGGAACAAGTGAAGGTTTATCGAATGGGGAGAAGTCAGGCAAAGAAGTGGATCTGTCTGACTTGATGGGCTTGCCAAAGGTAATGATGATTGATTTGATTGTTTAACAGACAAAACACATGCAAGCCTGATTTATGGGGTAAAAAAGATGATACATTTTCTAAAAGGGCCAGCCTATGAGCTGTTGAGATCTTATGGGTGATCCGCTGCTCTACTCCTGATAAAATCCTTCACTCATTTTTTGGTTAATTTCTTCTCTGAGAAATGATGCATCACCCTCTAAAGCAACGGGCATAGATCACGATGAGCCTCGAATCACAGGCTTTTGTTTGAGAGAAGCAGGCTTTATCAACGTAGCCGGCGGTTCTAATTTGAACCGCTCCATAATCTTTAAGTGATCTTCATCTGATATGTTTATCTGCATTTAATAAGACGAATTGGGCCTTGCAACGACAATAGACAATAAATTGATAGTACAGAATAATTTGGCAACTTTCTGATTTAGAAAGGCACGCGAATCTTGAAACTTAATGTAATGGTTCTGTTTCTCTTTGTTAATTAATTTCTTAAATCTCCAGAGATAATATGTGTCGTCTTATTTGCCGGACGCCACATAAGCCAAATATTCTTTTATGTTATCATAAAGCTAAAACCAACAAAATTGACATTTTTTGAACATAAGTGGCTAAAAAGGTGGACAAAAACGATAACTTTGTAGCTGATATCAATTGAAATTTTCATTTCAATAGTAATAAATAGCGTGAAGGAGAGCTAATCAACAACTTACAGTATGATTACGTTCAATTCTGACAAAAATAGTTTGCTAGATAAAATTCGAGTCTGATCTGCTCATTAGTTGTACAATTTAAGACGATTTATACACGAGGGAAAGGACCAACATACGAAATGTTCATGTCATTGTAGAGAACCGCTGTCGTTCTTTCAAGTTACCGTAAATTTTTAGTGATTATTCTTTGCTGGGTAGTCTTTCATCAACCTCAAGCAATTATCAGGGATCCTGGTGGGTCTCGAACCTCCTATCTTATGATTGACAAGCGGTAACTTGAGTCTTTTCACCACCGCTCTCCTTTATTTAGGACACATTGAGTGCAGTGGATGGAGGCATCGAGGGAGTGACCGATCTGATCAAGAATGCCATGCATCCAGAGGCAGGGGAGGAGGAGCAGGAGGACGAAGGCACTGGATATCTGCCGGTGACCTGTGCCAGTCTCGGAATTGACCCCCTCAATGCTCAGGTCAGTTGACCGAATTCGACACCTTTTGTCACCCACACTTCTCATTCCTCCTTAAACTAAGTGGAACATTTGGCCACTGTAGAAAAAAGATGAGCATTATCTTCTTTCCTTAAATTTCAAGGTTTGCTGTGAGTGATGTTGAACGTTTCTTGATTGCATTCTATAAAAAGTCACTTGGTTCAATTTGGCGGTAGATAAATTGACTTCTAGTTCTGTACGTGATGATGACACGTGACAGCCTCTCACATACTTTGCCCCTGTTTCTTACTAATAACTGCCTCTCGGTTAACGAAATGAATTTTCTCTCTATTAGATCGTGTCGTTTTTTTCCTTTGTGTTTTGCTGGTTTTTTTTAGAGTACGGTAAACTAATTGTTATGTTTGCCATAAGCAGGAGTGTTTGCCACCGGGTAATAGACTTTTTTCATGTTAACAACTTGGTTCAAAGAATATCCAAAATTAGAAATGGTAAATTTACTTATGTAGTACATGTAGAGCTGGTGGGTGCTTGCTATTTAGTTTGGATATTGCGTGCTTGCTATTAGGATGTATATGCTACATCTTGCAGTGTGATTTTTTCTGGTCCAATGGGATGATTTTGATTTAACTCTGACAAAATAGTTTAAAAGCTTCAAATCAAAGTCTCCGGCTTGTATAGAAAAAACTTTAAAAAAACTATGTTTCTTTGTTTCATTTTCTGAAAACTAGGTCTTGTTACTACATACAAGGCTCCGGTTCTCAATAAGTTCGTATGATTTTGAACATTCAAATAGTCTTATATTTCATGAAATCCAAATAACATGCTTGGTTTGTTACTATGCATTAAGTTGTGACAGCTTAGATATATTTTTATCAAGAGTCGATGAACGTAGTTCAGGCTCTTTTATAGGTCGTGATGATTTTTTTTTGTTTTTTTTTTCAGGAAAAGTATTTAAAAAATTTTCAGGTGCAAGTTAATTTTTCCGCGGTTTGACTTTGATTTCATTTTAAGTTTAGTTAATTTCCTTTCTTTACACAAGCAAAGCTTCTCTGATAGTATGATCTCTCTTTTTTTCCGAGCTAAGAGGCAAAAAATATTACTTTTTCGTATACTAGTTAAAATGCGTCCGCTTTATAAATTGAGGCATGTTAGTTGGTAAATTTTTTTTTTAAATCGACTGGTACTGCTAATGCGTGATTATTGGCTTGCATCACTTAGAAATTATGTAGAATCAAAGTCTTACTCGTTCAGTTTTTCCCAGTAGCGTTATCGGTCAGAATTTTGCTTGTGTATGCGAAGTGCAACTTCGCCTCTGTGTAAAAGGAAGGCAATCTCCACTATCGAAAAGCGAAAGAGTAGAAGTCACGAAAAACTTGATCGACTTCTTTCTTCAAAAATGAATTTTAATTATCGGTTTTCACAGCGAAATAAAAATTTCTTCATCGATCCAGTTTTCTCAAATTTTGTTAGTTTTATCAAAAAAAATATCAATATTTATTTGTTCTTGAAATTCAAAGAGCTTTGAGGCCATATATTTCTTGATTTCTAATTAGAAAATAGGAGTTTTTTTAAAAACAAGTCAGTGTTTTTTTTTCTGTTTACTTGCGTTCATTTACTTTTTTCCAGCTGTCTATTGGCTTTGTTTTTAATTTCAAAAATTGAGAAAAAAAATCAATAACTTAGAAATCTTTTATGTATCCGTGTTTGTTAATGAATGAAGTGATTTTTTTAAAGGCAGTGTCTTCTTTTCTTGCTTTTTGTCCAGGTAAAAGTCGTAAATTATTTCACGCTCAAATGGTTTTTTTAGGGTGCGACTTTGTAATTTATTTTCAAAATCATTTGTTAAAATGAGGGCAAATTAGGCTGTCCAATTATTTCACGCTCAAATGGTTTTTTTAGGGTGCGATTTTTTAGGGTGCGACTTTGTAATTTATTTTCAAAATCATTTGTTAAAATGAGGGCAAATTAGGCTGTCCAATTATTTCACGCTCAAATGGTTTTTTTAGGGTGCGATTTTTTAGGGTGCGACTTTGTAATTTATTTTCAAAATCATTTGTTAAAATGAGGGCAAATTAGGCTGTCCAATAAATGAATTTCCAATTGGCGCAAAAAGTGTGGTTGAATATAAATAGTTCCGAAAGTACTTCTGAATAACGAAAATATATTTTTGATCAGCTTTCAATGAAATGGGTTAGTTTTATGGAATACGTTTCAAATATAAGAGATTCTTGAAATCCTTGGAGCTTTAACGTGTTATGTGTTTGTCTGCGAAAGTCGAAACATGTTTTAAAGTCAATAATTTTTTGGTTTTCCTTGTTCATTGACGCATTTCCATCTGGCCGTTGGCTATGTTTATTTTTGCTTACGTTTTTCGTTTTGTTCATGTTGACAACATTTAACAGCATCATTAAACATTTGGTATCACGGTTTGTATTGAATTCTAGTTCAATTACTGTTCGATTCTTTTTCGGCTTAAACGGTTGCGGCATGCATTATATCTGTTCAGTTGCCCCCTATCACATCGTTTGACAATCGAAAAATGATTTATGCGTTTGTGCGTGCTTCAGGGAGCAATTAAAACGTAGAAGTTTAAAAAATTAGCCCAATAAGCAATAGTATGGCTTATCATTCCGTCTCATCCTTGTCTACCACAGTTTTACTTAACTTTTGCCTCGTTACTGCTCGTTAAAGAATGTCTCAATGCTAGTTTGACGCTGTAAATCATGTGTCTCGGCCAGATTCCTCAGATTGGTTTTCATTTGAGACAAACGTATGAAAATTTTGTGCGAGGCTGTTACTGTTTTTCGACATTTTTTTCTACTCAGTGAAATTGTCTCATTTTCTTTGAGCTAGCTGCTGAGGGTTCTTTGAGCTAGTTGTCATGGTATGTTCGTGGTATATTTGATTGAGACTTCAATCAATGGATTATGATTGTTTTTTTTCTGTCGAGAGAGCATAATAACATAACAACCAAACGGATTTGGTAGAACTGTATACAGCTGATTACAAAGGAACTTGTTGTAGAATGGTGAAGACGTACTTGATCGACATTATGTATCCTCCAATCGTAATGGGGAAGAAGGAGGCGACAAAACAAAAGCTGAGGAGTTGTTCATTGACGACTTGGATGATATGGAATTGGACTCGTATATTTTGAGCCAGGAAGAATCAGAGAGAAAAGTGAGTGAAGTTATGACGCGACGAGTTTTTTGTGTTATTTTATTATGAGTGGTTGGTGTTCATAATTTGCCACAATAGAATATAGCCACCAAATCAAGGTTTGGAAAGCAACTGGATTACTATAGCATGAGTTGTTATGTTAGTTAAAACCTATATAAAAGAATTGTGCTGATATATTAATAGTTCATTTATACATTGAACCATATTATAAATTTTACTGATAGGCCATTCTATGGGCTGCTGCCTATGGCCCTTTCATGGAACAAAGGGCAGCAAAGAAGAAGCTGAAGGAAGAGTTGAAAGAACAGAATGCTGCGGGAAATAAGAAACGGGCACCCAAACCGCGAAGTCAGGCAAGTAATTGGTATTTAATAGTCATAGACTCTTATTAAATGTTAAACAACCAATTGATTTATCACTTATTTAGATCTGGTAGTTTTTCAGGAGAACGTTTTGAAAATGTTTCGTGCTCAATTTTCTTTCGCGGTTTGACTTTCGATTTACTTTTGAGTTCAATTTAAACTCTTCTGCTAAACGAATGCAAGTTACGCTCGCCAATTATGAAAGGGCAAAGGGTGCGAAAATTACCTAGTGTTTCAGTTTCCTCTGATTGGGTTAGTGGTATGACAAAATTTTCAATCCTTGAGATTAGCAGTGCAATCGGGTAAAAAGAGTTACTTCCTCTAGACATTTTTGCTAACAGTGGTGAAAATAAAAAATGGAATTTTACTGAGGTGCGCACTTGGATGCCATATAGGTAATAGAGGTATGTTATTTTGATGCTTGCGATAAAGCATATTTACATTGTGGATTATTCTTTTCCAAAACTTATATATATATATATATTGTAGGATTTCGGCTTATTGGGTGGGTGTCGCTTTTATTTCTGTTGGCTTCTTAAGTGTTAGTGAGCGAAGTTATCTATTTTTTTCTAGGTCGTGTTGTTTTTTCACCTGATTAACTATTTAGTTCAGGAGTCCTAATTTTGCTTACGTTGAAATTCGATTTTTTGCTATTGGAAGTGACTGGCAATCAACACCTAGTTTTTTTTCCTCCTAAACAACTTTTCTTACAGGCGACAGGTCAGGGGTTCGAATCCCGTCGGGAATTTGTTTTCTTTTCCATCTTGCATTTATTTAAATATATATGTATACAATGTTTTTTCTTGAACCTCGACACCTCTCAGGCCCCTTTTCATTTGGTCCAGAGGTAATGCATGCGGCTTTGGTTCATACGTTCTAGGGTTCGAGTCGCGGCTGGTCCTTTTTTTTCCAATGAGTGGAAACATTTTTTAAGCAAATTGTGGGATTATCGTTCGTATGCTTATTTTTTGTCGGCTTATGTTCCAATGCATGGAATTTCTTCCGAGCATCTTTTAATTCATTTTTTTGCACTTCTAACTATTATTGAAATTCGAACTGTAGTTTGTAAGTTTACGAACTTTGATTTTGTATAATTATCTTTTTTTTGCTTGAATGGGTTCGATTTTTGCTATATTGACTTATTTAATTCTATTTACGCCGTTTAAAAAGCAAAAATAGATGGCAATCAAGACCTAGTGTTTTCCCGTAAACAATTTTAGTGCTATTGTGTGTTTCAAAGAATAGGGCGCGTAAATTATAGCTCAAAATTTTCTGTGACATCATTTCCTTTTCGGCTCACTTGGTGTCTACCCAAATAATGTCGGCTTAGGTGCCACTCTGCAAATGATTTTGAACGCTGATTTGAAACTGTACCGTTGCTTCGTGGCGTATTTTTTTAAAAGTTAAGCGCATTTTGGACAAATTTATCAATTTTTTTTTCCGAATTAATTTTTTTTGACTTAGTTGCCTTCGTCTCATTGTCTGTCTGATAATTTACAATGCTATCTTTGTGATGTATCGAAAGTGTTGCGAAGCTCCCCTTTGTGTTTACTCTAGTGTTTACTCTAATGCTTTGTGTTTACTTTAATGCTTTCTGTTTACTCTAAAAAAAGAATTAATTTTTTTAAAGTTAAGCGCATTTTGGACAAATTTATCAATTTTTTTTCCGAATTAATTTTTTTGACTTAGTTGCCTTCGTCTCATTGTCTGTCTGATAATTTACAATGCTATCTTTGTGATGTATCGAAAGTGTTGCGAAGCTCCGCTTTGTGTTTACTCTAGCAATTTGAACGCTGATTTGAAACTGTACCGTTGCTTCGTGGCGTATTTTTTTAAAGTTAAGCGCATTTTGGACAAATTTATCAATTTTTTTTCCGAATTAATTTTTTTTGAGTTAGTTGCCTTCGTCTCATTGTCTGTCTGATAATTTACAATGCTATCTTTGTGATGTATCGAAAGTGTTGCGAAGCTCCGCTTTGTGTTTACTCTAGCAAATTTTAGTGAGCTTTAGTTTACTAGTACGACTGTTCTAGTTTGAAAATATTGGTGCCACTTTTGGTGGCACCTTCACGGCTTTTTGATAGCATGTGCTTGGACACTCGAATACTAAAAAGTTTACACATTTGATGCATTTTAAGTTTATCAAATAAACTGATAAAAAGCTATTTGTTTCAAAGAACGTAAGAATCATAAAAACTCGATTTCAGAAATTTGACAAACTTCGCCTCTTTGTTAAAATTCTATTTAAATTAATTTGCTATAAAAAGGGCAAATGGCGCTCCGCTATGCCCAAAGAGTAAGTGGTGCCTCGGCGTAAATTGTTGCTGTAAATATTAGCGTAGTTTGATAGTACGATGCAACTCTCTTTTCCTAAGTCGCAAATAAAAGTGCTACTTTTGGTGGCTTTGTAGAGTCAGTAGGCTGCTTTAGCCGCATAATAACTTGTGCGCTGAAATTTTATGAGTAATAAGTTAATTTAGTTGAAGCTTCTAATGCGATTTATACTTCTATATCAAATCAACCTTTTAAAAATTCCTTTCAATCATTTTACTTTTTAGGAAGGCTATGCTCGCCCAAGCAAGAAGTTGAAGACAGATCGGCCTGCAGCTACAGCGAACGAGGCGATTGACAATATCATTAAGCAAAAGAACATATCGGAGAAAATCAACGTCTCTGTTCTTCAGAATTTGAGGATCGAAAAGTTGAATTCAAATGCCAGCGAGACTTCATTGACAAATGGAAGTTCGGGTGCATTCGGAGAGCCGAGACAAGAGTCATCGACGTCGTCCTTGTCGCAAATGACGTCGGGTAAAATTGCTTCACGACTGGCTAGTGCCTTCCGTAAAAACGGAGCTCGGCCTGGCTCAAATGTAAACAAATGTAGTAAACTTAATTCGCCAGGTATGTCTTCCGCCTCAAATGCTCTGGCTAGTTCAGTGGTTTTGAAGAAGTCGCCAAGTAAGGAACCGCCTGTTCTGAAAGAGTTCGACATGTTCGCCAAAAAGTAGAACAATAAATTTTGTTCTTGTAGTAAATATTGTGCTGTTGAAATCAAATCCATTTCAGTGCAATTTGAAATGAAACTTAAGTTCTATAAAAATTTAGCCTATGTGAGGTTTCTCATATTTAATATTTCGAAATTTAAATTGTACTTTAGTCAAGTTAAAGTTGTTTACTTACTTGTGGTTGTTTACTATTTCTATAATCATTTATATATTGATTTATACACCGAAGTAGACCAATGAAAGCAATTGTTTTTTTTTATTATTGCTTGATACAAATCTTAAACTTGAATCCAATGGGTTTAGTGACCGAATGGGGGACTCGAACCAAATGTGTTAGTAGATATCAGGGGCGGATTTAGGGTCACCCACTCACCGCCTTTAGTGTCGCTCTTTTGGTACAAATTAACCACACTCATTTGGGCCTGCTAGCCTTAAAGAAATGGACCTTGCGGCTGATTTTCTCAGTAATGATGGCTTTAACTAATGGAGGTATTGATGATTAAGGAGTGTTCGAAAAACATCATCAACGTTTTTAAAAACTGTAATACCTTGCGAACTTCTTTAGCGCGCCCTTGGGGATTTTATGGGATATTCGTAAGCACAATCGATGGAGACCTAATTGGACTCAATTGACTGTTTTCAGGTTCCAATGAGTTTCAAACATTTGCAACTGCGTCATTGTTTATCAGTTTTTGACCCTTATCTGAAAAGAACGAATTGGTTCGCATCTGCGATATGTAATGAACCGACACCCGTTTTTGGTCGGCAAAGTTGGCATAAAAATTTGAGTACTTCGTGCAGTCGTAGTTTATACGTGCCAATTGTCGTCGAGCAATCGGGTAGAGGAGAGCGTGCTTATGACATATACAGTCGCCTATTGAAGGAGAGAATTATTTGCGTATTTGGAAATATATCAGACGAGGTTTCAAGTGTAGTGGTCGCTCAGATGTTGTTTTTGCAGGCTGAAGACGCTAGAAAACCTGTGCATATGTACATTAATAGCCCAGGTGAGTCAGTATTTTTTTGTTTAATTGCGCTCATTGACTCTTTTCCAACTGTCTATTGGCTATGTTTTCCATACTATGAAATTGTAAGACAAGTGTTTTTTCCATAAATGAAAATACAAAAAAATTGTTTCGCCCAAAAATAGTCTAACCAAGGATTTTCTAACCTCGGAAAACCCAGAGTGTAAGGAGCAGTTACCACGCAGATAATCTGCCCTTTGGTGAAATTTGCCATGAATATTATTGTTAAGCCTTCACACAGCTCTATACAAAAAACGTACAACTTCTTGTATTTGGCTAGAAAGCTTCTTCTTTAAAAAATTCAGTGGTTGAAAGAAAGTCCATATTTGTTCTACAGAATTAGGTTTATTTTAACATACAAAAACAAAAATTACTAATTGTATTAGTACAAAAAACAGTTGCTTGTGATTTTTTTTTGTGTCAAAAACTCCACTTGGACTACGTTATAGACACAATATCAAGTTTTGCTTGCAATTTTTGCTTCTGTAAAACATTTATTTGAGCTCAGAAGGTAAATTGCAATCAAAAAGAGTGAAAAATGTAGGATCAGCATTTGTTAATTCAGAAAATTTTTTTGATGCTTAAGTTGTTCTCATGTAACAAAAACTGCCAAAAATTTGTTTTCTTTGATTTTAAACCAATTTCAGAGAATTTTAAAAAAAATGATTGGAGAATGCTTATCGTACAGTTTCCTTCTAAGGTATTTTTATGATAAGCTTATCGTAAAGTTTCCTTCAATGGTATTGTATGATAAGCATTTTTTTCACGGACTTTAATTGAAATTGTATGTTAGGCATTTTTCTAGCATGGACGTCACCCGGGCACTTGTCTGTATTTTTGAGTTTGGGTATACATCAGGCGTCTGGAATAGCTAATGTAAACCGTTATTTTGAATGCCGCTAAATCAAAGTATTAGAATGTTGATTTAAGGAAAATTGTTTCTAGAATTTGTGCCAAAAATAGTTGAACTTGTTCAGTGTCAAAGAACGTAGTGAATACCTTTAAATTGTTTGTTCCGTTTTTTTTTAAATTTTGTTTTCGTGGTTTGTTTTTTAATTTGTTTTTAAGTCGGTAAAAGGAAGGCAAATACCACTATCGAACGGTTAAATTATAACTTGATCGATTTCTAGTTGTGAAAGTAGATTTTAATTTAAGATTGGAGTGCTTTCAATGAAAAAATAAATTGCCCTATTGATACATTTCCCATCCAAAAACCCTCAAAAAGCAAGTTCTCTATATTTCCTTTGTCGCCCTTGCAAAATCCAAGTGCTTCATCATCTAGTTTGCTTATTAAGAGTCAATTAACGTGGTGAAGACTCTTAAATAGTTCGAGGTGATTTTTCTTCAGGAATTTGTTCATGCTCAATATTGTTTTTGCGCGGTGTGACTTGAATTTTTGAAGTTCAATTCATTGTCTTTATCGAAAGGAATGCAAACTCGACTATCGAACAGCGAAAGTGCAAAGGTCACAAAAAACATGATCGACGTTTACTTTCCCAGCTGAATTACATTTTTTCATATTGATTCAGTTTTCTCAAATTGCTTGGCCTTTTCCTCCCTCATTCGAGCGCACGCATGGCAATCTGCCTCGTCTCTTAAGTGGTTCGCTTCTGTAATAATACGAGGCTTTTTAATCTCATCAGAAACGGTCTTACAAATGCCAAATTATCAGATTTGATTATTTTTTTTCTGCTGAGTAGGTGGCGTGGTCACTTCGGGTTTGGCCATATACGACACGATGCAAATCATTTCATGTCCTGTTCACACTTGGTGTATGGGCCAGGCTGCCTCTATGGGGTCTCTACTCCTCACAGCTGGCGAAAAGGGGCAGAGGAGGGCCCTGCCCAATGCCAGGGTGATGGTGCACCAGCCACACGGGGGAGCCAGAGGACAGGCGAGTGATATCCAGATTCAGGGTAGGCAAGTTGTCCTAATATAATTCAAATTTTAAACCAGACTCTGTGGGCAAAGGAATAGTACAACAAGATTAGCCGGTTACTGTGCAAGAAGCACATAATGTTCCGACCATAGTCTCAAAAAATACAATTTTTTTCCATGTTAGTTTCGTTTTTTTTCTAGGTGGTGGGATAAAAAAAAGATCTAAACGAAAAAAAAAAATAATTTAGGTACATTGGACAGTCATAGTAAAACAGGCCAATCGTCAAAAGTTTTTTAAGAGATGTAAAATAATGTTTTTTTTTTAATCTAAAAAATAGAATCCTCGTTTCAACCAGTAAAACCTAGCGTGAAAACAATGGCCTTAGTGCTGTTAAGCGCTGTTTAAACGCAACAGATGTTTTATTTGAAAATTCCTTTTTTTTTAAATATTATTCTTTCTTTTGATTCGTGATGCTGTTAACCATTGTTGAGCTATTGAAGGGCAGCTGTTAGTAGACTCATAGTCTCATTAGCTAGCTCGTCGGATGAGTAATTTTTTGATGAGTTTATTTTTATATTGTCAATGAATGTATTTAGCTATCGGAAAAATACATTCGTTCCTTTCTTTCTATGCTATAATGGCGTTTGTGTTTTAGCGGAAGAAATAGTGAAATTAAAGAAACAACTCTACAATTTGTACGTGAAACATACTAGCATGAGTTATGAGGAGATAGAGAGAATGATGGACAGGGACAGATTCCTCTCCCCGCATGAGGCGGTCAATTGTGGACTCATTGATCAAGTAACAAAATACCCCGCTTGCGGACTAAATCATCCATTACCAAATCCCCCATAGCACCAAATGCCCCTAGGAAAAAATCCCCCAGTTTTTAGTTAAACATTCCCACATTCGAATTGAACAAAAATGCGACACTAAAAGTTAATTAAATTAAATGTTGAGTAAATAATTACAGAAAAGAAATAGATAGACATAAGACTAAAAACAATAAGGACAAGTAAACAGCTATAACTTTGAGATAATCCAACCCTTTGTAGCTAGTGGCAGAGCAAACAATTCTCTTTTTCCAAAATTATCTTCTTTCCTTGTATGATTTTTTTTGCCGAGATGCATATGAGAGACACAAGTGGTTTGCAGCGAATGCTGCCTCTGAGTGGCTTGAATGAATTTCCATCTATCAGGATTTGACATTTGGAGCATGGATTCAAAGCCACGGTTAAACCCTTCGAGGGAAATGTTTGTCTTGGGAAGGTCGCCAATGGTTCTGAAATAAACGTTCCACATATCTATGTCGAATCGATATTTCCGTCTGGTCGAGTTTTGCGTTTTTTCGCCTTCAAAGGTGTCCGCAAAATAGTTCTTGATGTCTTCAGGAGTTTTGCATCGTTCGAGTTTTTTGTTTGTACTATGCTTGAATGAAACAACCTTCAATTTCTGTTCCGGAAAGTTGTCACTCACAGAATTGTTGCAAGCCCTTTCAAAGTTAATCGTGATTGAATTTGGGGACACGATATCTGTTTTCAAGTTCGACCAGAAAGAGTTATACGTTTCCTGTCGTTTATCGGGTAAAAGGGGCATGTATACATGGAGAGTTGTTCCATCTACGAAGCAGTGGACAGTGTATACTTGATAGAAGTTATTAAGAGAGCTTTTGAGGGTTCCGTCGATCAACTCATAAGAAGTTAAGACTTTGATGTTTTTGTTGGTTGCGAACACCAAGTATCGCATACGGCTTCTCAACGGCTTCTCGGAACCGTTCAATTTTTAATAAGAAAAGCCTCTCTATTCATAGTTTGCTAGTATTAAACAGGTATTTTAAGATCGAATCCTGTGGAATCGGTGAATGGCTTCGATTCTCGTGTCAGATTCTTCGGATCATTCGTTTAATATAAGTTGCTACCCGCATATTTGAGGAGCATTTTGCTGTGGTTTTTGCCCGGGCATTTGACAGCACTTTTTGTTTGGAGAGAGTCCATGCAGGCCGCTGCGTCCACTTCGATCTGTTCATTAGTGGCACACATTTCCATTAAAGAATAATCAGGGCTGTGTGTGTGCTCATGTGGTGACTGCTTGAGGAGTTCGCCCCTTTGAAGTCCGTGTGCTTGCTTTACACTGTTGCTTTGATCGCCGCAACTCGCACTCCCATTGAACAGAATTGAACTCTTTTCTTTTAATAAGCGTAGTTATTATGAAGCGATATCTCGGCCCCACTTAAACAGAAAATTTATGTTTTTTTTTTTGCATTGCTATTGTTTTGAGTCGGTAATTAAAAAAATGCACGTGTCTCACAAACTGAACAAAGTTTTGCGTCAAAAGGCAAACGTCTTAATGCTAATGGAAGATTAAATTGCGACCACGTAAACTGGCATCTCACCTGTTAAGCTATTTGATTTGCTGGTACTATATTGGGTGTCAATTTGATTATCAAGCAACATATATTAACGTTACTTTTAGTTCAAAATTTTAGTACAGTCCAAAATCAATGATACGTGGTCCTAGGGGTCTGAAATTTGGATACAATAAAGAAGTTTGTTTTCTAGGAATCGGGGACTTCCTTTCACGCCTTACCGCTCCCCCACCTAAGATGAAGCGTGCGATTTTCTCCTCTGGGAGGTAAATTCAACACACCTTTGTATCGATCGTACAATGTCATATTTTGGGTTCGAACTCACGCTACAGAGATGAACATTATTTTCCACTCTTTTATCTTGCTGTGTCACGTGGCGTATTAATTTTTGCAATCAGAGCTTCTTCTTATAGAAAGTTTGAAAGTTGGAATCCTAAAGTTGGAAGTGACTTCAAAATGGAATCAATAGAAAACTAAAATCATATTATGGCTCTTTTCCAGTCCCCCCTTTAAAATTCAACTTTGAAAAGCTTATTTAACCTTGTCATAATGCAATAAAATTTGGTGTGGTGAACAAATCAACAACTGTGAACAGATTTGCTCTTCATACTTTACAGCGTAACATTACGCATTTAGCCGTAATAACACGTAAAACAAACATAAAACTCGGTTTTTTCAAAGGTGGGGGGAAACTGGAAAAGAGCCCATATTATATATTCAGCGTCGTTTCCAGAAAGTGACTTTAAAACTGAAGCAACAGAAAACTAAAATCATATTATGTAAACGTGATTTCCTGGATACTGAATTAAAATATCGGGGATTTCGTCTTAGGGGGATTTTATTCTACGGGGGATTTTTTTTCCTGGGGATTATATTCAGGGGGACTTTGTCCAGGGGGATTATATCCGAGGGATTCAGTCCTACCTAGACCCAAAATAACCTTACTGGCTCCTAGTGTATTTTTGAATGTTGAATGGAAACAAAGTGGAAAGTTTGAAAAAGAAAATATAGTTGAGAATGTTCGCACCTGATTGGTTGAAACCAAATAATTAGCCATTGTAGTTTAATTTTTGTGTTCAGTTGTTGATGCCGTTATGCTAATATTAATTTGAACCGTATAAGTAAAAAGAATCATTTTTTTGACATATCTTCAACCTTACCCCGTACCCTATGATTGTAGTGACAAAGTAAGCTCCACACACCTATGATGTACCAATCAAACGAATAAGTTTTACAAATTTTAAATTAAGTTATCATTTTTAGAAATGTGTTATTAGTACTTTTAAATTTAAAGCACGACCATATCATTAGAGTCATGCGCTACACACGAAGAAAATATGAATATGCAATACAGTGGAAGGGAAAATTGTTAAAGAGACCTTAACTGTTTTTGTAATGCTGAAATTTTTGGAATTTCTTAGGTTGAAGGAGAAGGAGGTAGTACAAGCTCAACAGATGGAGGAACAAGTGGACCGTCTACTACTAATGATAGCAGTGGTAGTCAGAATGGAAACAAATGAACAAAAAGACTTAACAACGAGTGATCTTTATGTGTTACAAACTCTTGTTTTTGTTTTTAAATCAGACAATGTAATACGCGAAACTGTAGTTAAAACCATTAAATTGAACTTTGCCTGAAGTTTTTCGGTTTTTGCAAACAAGCTAGAAGTTCCAGTCAGGAATGAGATAGCGAGCTTATTCAAGTGTCTGATAAGATATCCATGTAGATTTTGATCAGCTAAAATGATTTAAATTGACCTTTTAGAAATGTTTAAACACTGTGTTCCCATTCTTATTCAATTTGCTCGTTAAATTGGTAATGGTCATGGAAACTCTCGTTAACTGTGTGCTGAAGGCGTGTGGCTTTTTAAAGATGTTTGTAATGAAAATTCCACATAAAATGTTGAAAAGCATCAAAATGGGACAAGTCTGCAAAAATGCGTTGACAGCTGACAAAAACGGTTGCTATACAGAAAGACTGCAGGACATGATTGGACCAAAGTATCCAGGAAACAGCAATGTTCGCCAAGTACAGTTCAGAAAAGTTGAAAACGAATCCGATATCGAGACGAAATACAGACTAACGCGAGAAGAAACTGAAAACTGGCATGTGCAGTATTGGGAAAGTCACAACTCAGATTTCAAAAACATGAAAAAAATTTTCATAGCTGAAACGGTTCTTAAGAAGCAGCAAGAGCAAGAACAAAACAACGAAGTCTCCGATCAAACTTCAGAAACAACTATTGAACTAAACGCAGATGAAATGAGTGTATTTTACAAGCAATATTTAAGAGAAACTCAATCAAAACATTTACAATATAACCGCGATTGGTACAAAAGAAACTTTTACATAGTTTATTTGTCGGTTATGGTAAACTTCTTCAAATTATTTCACCCTAAAAAGTTGAAAAAATAAAATTTTGCAAGACTCAATCATTCCAGCTGAAGTTACACTTTCTTGTTGTGTTTGTAATTCTTATCGGCGTTTTTAAACAGCATCAGCTGTCCGCTTAACCAAGCCCGTTCATTTCTGCAATTTTTTTGGATCTATTTGGATTATAAGCAAAATGGACAAAAATTGATTCTTGGTTGTTCAGTTTGTTAGGAAATAGCTCCCAAATATTTTCATAAGTTTCACCAAATGTATTTAGATCAAGGTCTCAGTTTCGGATTCAAGGAATTTCGTTTCCCTTATTCGTGTTTACATTAGTTTGACGATTCAGGTTTTGGTTGAATTTTGCGAAGTGCCTGTATTACCGCTTGTGAGTAAACTAAATTAAAAATTTAAGGCTTGTTTCATTAACTCTAATGGTCAAAAGGGCTATGCTAGTTGAATTACATAATGTTTTCATTGATATCAGTTAATGGTCAAGTCATCCTTATAATCAAACGATGAGCAAACTTCGTGTGAGCTACTCTGATCCGCCGGAATTGAACTCTCGGCTATTGCTCTTTCTAGAAACTGAAAGGCACCAATTTTCTCTGTTTTTAATGGCCTGTTCAGTGCTCTTTTTGCCCAATCTAAGAGACTTTTTCTCTCACCATTGAATTCTGAAAACATAGAATTTTCGATGCTCAAAATTTTGTTGTATATTGTTTGCTCATATCCTCCAGTTTTTTCCCACCAAATTTCCATTGCATCAGCCATTAGTTGCTCTTCATCCAAACTTGTTTTAGTATTAAGGGATCCGCTCCGAGAGTTCACATTACAGTTTTTGCTTTGTATACAAATTTGGAGTAAATTGGCTAGACGCATAGCTTCCTGAACTTGTTGAAGCATTTCAACTTCTGTTTGTTTATCAGTCCCGGCTGCTACTCCCATAGCAAGGTCTCGCTCTAGGATATACGTTACGTAATCTTTTTCTGATTCCGTAATATTTCTTAGAGCTATGGAATCCAATCTATGCATGATTTTTGTTGCTTCCAAAAGTTTACCAAACAGAGTCTGTTTTTGCGACCGATAGTTGTCATACATCATGCACAGAAGTTTTATTTCTGCGTTAGGATCTTTCGTGGGAATATGATGCTTCTCAAGAAGAGACTCGATGGTTTGGTTCACTGGAGTCGAAATTCTCTTGTACATTCGGAACTCTTTCATATGATCGCTCTCTCCGCATTTACCATCGCACATTCTACACTTCATGACAGAGTCGAACAGCACGAAACAACAACACCAGTAGTTCCAAAGACTCTTGCATCCAATGCAGCACGTGTGCTGGCATTTCTTGCAGTTCATGCAATATTTTGACACCGTTTCGAGAACTTTTCGGTGGGCTCTGTAAGTGAAATGAAGATTATGAAACTCCTGTGAAACTCTGACGTTTGAAATGACAGACAACAAAGCAGCTGTACAAGCATCCATATCTTGAAGCATCAGTAGTGTTTCCTTAATTTTCCACAATAGATCTTTGAGAACTAGTGTCAAAGAAGCACGCTCGCTCAAGACTTCTTTCGTAAGATGCAAGTCAGTGACTTCGATTTTTTCCAGCGTTTTGAAGAAGCGATTCATCGCATTATTGTTTTGCTCCCAAAGTATTTTGTTCATTGCTGTTGGTTTTCCGTAAACGCTCTGATTGTTCAGGCTAAGGTACTCGATAAAAGGAATTTTGTCAGCTTTTACGCATTCAAGAGCTGGCGGATTGTCTTCATCGCCACAATATGTGAACAAAATAGTCAGATTATTTTTCAAGTCAGCCCCAAAGAGACTGAGAACCTGATCTATGCAATACTTTTCCTCCTTCGTCAGTTTACTTGAAGATGCCTTCATAATATACGCCACCGATGCTATCTTGTCAACTGTGCAAGCTTGTTCGTTTTCAAAAAACTGTCTGATACTGTGTGTAATTTCCTGGTCCCTGAATATCCCGCGCGGGTCGGCGAATCCCGGGGTGTCAATGAGCAGAATGCTTTCGTGAAATCGAAACCCAGACTGCCATTGCAGTTCGTAGCCGGTCACCCAAGAGGTCATGCTCATTGATTCGGAGTGTGAATCCATCCCGCTTTCTTGTTTTTCCTGAGTCTTATTCACCAATTCGAATCTGAAAGTGTCTTCGAACTCAACTCCGTAAAGGTAATTTACAAATGCGTTTATCATTAAAGTCTTGCCCGACCCTGTTATCCCTGTCATCATAATAACTTTGATTGGTCTGAGCATCAAGTTCAGGTCTTTGGACCCAACGCTGATTCTTCTGATCTTTGATTTTGGCTCCTCGTAAGTCAAACAAGTCGGAAGTCTAAATGTCTGCGGCATCGTGGAGCTGAGTTCAACTAAAGAACTTTTACTTTTCATGCGTCTCGCCAGAAGTTTTGATTCCACCCGTTCAGTGCCTCCCAGATAATTTTCCAGAAACACTATTCCTTTCTTCAGTTGAATAATCGTTCGTTCTGCTTTGTTGCTCCAGCTGCAGAACTGCAGTGCGTTTTCGGTTTTCATCGGTTGTTTCATACAATAGTACCCCGATTTGAAATCATTATTTGGCTGACTGCTTTCTCCTGCTTTGCAGCCAACCAAAAGTTTTTCGGCGGCATCTTTCTCTGCGGTTGCTTCGGACAGCTGCGCTTTCAATTTCGTCTGCTGTTCTAGGTTATCACAGGCTTCTACATACAAACCAAACAAGTTTTCCAACCTGCAAAGTGTCGTTCTTAGCTGTTCAAATGTGTCCAGTGGTTTTACGATGAGTTCTTTGACGTATTGAAAACGAACACAATCCATCGCCTACTCAAAAACTGAGAGGTATCAGAAAACTAATGCATAGTTCAAACTTTGGGATGTTGCAAGAGTTATGATGCCAGACTGGTATTTCAAATAAATTAATAGATCTCGATCTCAGTGTCAAATAACAGACAAAAATTGCATCATTGGACCCAGAAACCATTTGAAAATTGTGTTTACGGCTGCCATGCGTTTTCTGTTTGATGTATAAATATCAACTCTTATATTATTTCTGGCAACTATATGCCCTAATTTTGTTGATCAAATCATGGCAACACATATGTTTGCATTAGTTTTTCAACAGTAACAACCTAGCTTTCACGGCTACTGTGCTAAATTAAGTGGGTCACGTGTCCTTCACTTATTGTGATTGATCAAGTTTTAATTACGACACCAAGCTCCGTTTTGAAATAAAGCACAGCGTTGAGCTACCCGGCCTCTAAAAGCCCCTAAAATTGCGTTTAAAGTTTTATACGACACGTGTCTATTGAATCCAATAAAGTTTCTATGCAATCCAAAAGTGAATTATGCCTGCACGAATCAATTGAATCCAATTAGGAGCAAAAATAAATAGTTGTCTTGTTTTCACGCCCTTTTTTAAACAAGACTGCTCGTAGTTCAGGTCAAAGCACTGAAAACTCTGACTACTCCTTAATTGGTATCGAATAGTTGTTACTACAGAAAATTGTTCAAAAACCCCAATTTTTGATCAATAATGAACAAGTGTAAAAAATAAGGTAACATGACATAAATACGGCCAATTAGCTTGCGTCAAATCAGTTTGGAACATTTTTAGGTTTTTACAAACTTAATACGAATGTTTAGCTTACCTTAGTTCAACTTGGAACGAGTTGATAGTGCTTGAGAAATCACCAGGCATAAAAATCGCCTTTACGCATTCAACATCATAAACAAAAACCTTCACAGTGCACAGAAGTTAGTCCAAAGCATGGCCCAAATGGCAATTTTTTCAACCCCCAGACCTTTAAAACAATAATTGAGGGTGAAAAGTTTTTTTTTTTAAATTTGAAATCGCGAAGTTGAAACCTTAATGGCTTATGCAAATATTTTTTGTGAAAACTATGATTTCGATCTTTGAAATTTGACTGAATAACAACTCAAAGCATAACAAGGATAGCCGGTTAATGTGCAAGTAGCACAGAATATTTTGACCATATTCTAGAAAAAAAATACAAAAAAAAACGTTTTTTTTTTTTCAAATTAATGTCGTTTTTTACCGGCGTGGTGTCAAAACAAGATCTGAACGAAGATAACCCAATTCCCTAATTGTTAGTGGTAACTGCTTTTGCGTAGAAAACAAAACGAGAAAACTAAAACACTTCTGAATACAAAGTTTTTCACCTTTTTTCGAACGGTGGGAAGAAAACTTGGTCAATTTAGGTCGGTCAAAATCCAATAATAAAGATAGGTCAATAAAAAGCGATCAAAAATCCAAATGTTTTCACCAGATGCTATCATAATTTTGATTTCAATAATTTTGATAATTTTGATTTCTGGAATTCGATGCAAACTCAGAGAAATTAGAGGAAAATGTCTGGGATTCAGTTCGCTACTAAATTTTGCAAGCCCTGATCGTGGTAAAAATTTATTTTCCTGTTTATTAGCAATTGATTTTAGGATACATCCCCTAAAACATGCACAAGAAAACGATTTTATGTTTCCAGTGGTTTCACCGTCAATTTTAATTATAGCATTTCACTGATAATTGTCTGCAGCGTATCAAATGCCGTCAAGTCACTTTAATTGCGCAAGTCACTTTAATTGCGGCGTCATGGATATCCGAATTTTGAAGAAAAATGAATTTTATGTCGGAAATAGTCTCAAAAGGCGTGTCAGTTGAAGTTTTTTGCAACAGCCAAACAAATCAACTAAAAATTAAAAAACTTGAAGTTTTTCCGAAAAACCGCAAAGAAAATTAAGCCATTTTTGGATAAGTGATATCAGATACTATCACGAATCTGATCCGATCACCGACGATATAACTGATCTGAAGTATAAACAAGAAATGTCTGCCAAAAGTGCAAAATTGTTGTGAAAACGATTTCAGAGCAATTGATGAAGTCGGTTTCTACAACAATTTTTACTTTTCGAAATCAATTTCATTAAGCTTGAAGATGTGCGAGTAGAAATTCCGAATCCAGTGGCGTGTTCGGAAATTTTCGAGGGAATTTTTTAAAAACAATTTCGTGGAATTTTTATATTGGCCAGCCATTTTGATTATTTTGATCTCTGCGGAAACCACAGAGTCACTACGTTAAGTGAAATGTTTGGCAACGCAGTTTGTTTTTTTTTGCGGAAAATACCTTTTTTGAGCACTCTTCACAAGGTTTTCCTTTGTTTAAGCTTTTTTTGGAGAGCGTTTTCCCTCAAGATTATTTTATATTGGCGGCTTGAAAGTTTTCGGGCTGATCAGCCAAAATGGATGTCGTAAACTTTTACCAAAGTAGGTACCTTCATGGAGATTAAGAAGTCGGAACCTAAAAGGAGGCGAGATGAAGGTTTATGAGACAGCAAAAATCTGATTAAAATTTCGTAAAATTTACGAAGCCTTTGTTGCTTTTTTTTCTTGTGCATCAAATGATAACTAAATAAAAAACCCCGCTTCGCAGTCAACTGTTTTGTGGGTCAATTGAAATACAAAAAAGTCAAACCGAAACTAAAAGAACCTTTATTGGTGACCACTCTTCTACCCGGATGAGGTGTTCGACTTATGTTTCGACCGAACTCGGTCGAACACATGGATGTTGTTCGACCCAAAATCCTTAGTCAAAGACACACCTTTTAGTCGAATACTATTTGGAAACATAGTCAAAATCAAGGTCCTAAACACAGCCGAACGCATAACCGAAACGTTTTTCAATTTATAGTCGATTTATAGTCGAACACTTATTCGAAACATAGTTGAACACATGGTCGAAACAGAGTCTTACATTAGTCAAAATCAAGGTCCTAAACACAGCCGAACGCATAACCGAAACGTTTTTCAACACCAAGTCGAACACAAAGTCGATTTATAGTCGAACACTTATTCGAAACATAGTCGAACACAAAGTCGACGTTAATGCTTGGTCAAAACATAGTCAATCGCGAAAGAAGTATGATCGAATCATAGTGGAGCACAAAAACATAGTCGAACAGAGAGTCGAACACAATGGGTGGTCGAAACATGGTCAAACAAAGTCTCGAAACATAGTCGAACTCAGGAAATGTGCCACACATGATCTTAGACAAAAGTCCGAGAAGCGATTATTTGCCCAAAGAAGGCAACTAATAATGAAGTTTTGATGTACTAAGAAATAAAGTTTCAGATTCTTGGCACATCCAAATTGAAAAACTTAATCAGTCAAAAAACAAGTTCAGAGTAGATGGTTTTTTGAATTGCATAAATAATACAGACTCTTTAAAATATTTGGTCGAAACATGGCCAGTTTGTTTCAAGTCAGTTATATCATAGCACGCTTGGGGCAACCACTGCCGATCACTTTTTTCATTCAATCGATTCGGTCGAGCCATAGCACTCTTGGGTCGAACGCAGTTGAACACAATTTTTCTTGGGTCGAGTCGGTCGAAACATAGCACTCTTGGGTCGAACACAATTTTCCTTGGTCGCATTGGTCGAAACATAGCTCTCTTGGCTCGAACACAAGCGAACACTATTTTTCTTGAGTCGAGTTGGTCGAAACATAGCACACTTGAGTCGAACGCAGTCGAACATATTTTTAATTCTGTGCAGTCGGTCGAAACAGCCTTTTTGCGTCAAACTATGTCGAACACATTTTCGTTCTGTCGAGTCGGTTAAAAAAGCATAGCCAATTTGAGTCGAGTCGGTCGAAACACAGCTGACTTGCGTCAAACACTGTCGAATACGTTTTTTCTTTGGTCGATTCGGTCGAAACATTGCCAATTTGAGTCCAGTCGGTCGAAACATAGCCATTTTTAGTCGAGTCGGTCGAAACATATGAGTTTTTGTCGAGTTGGTTGAAACATAAGTCGAACACCTCAACCCAGGTAGCATAAATCTCTACTAGCATAAATGTTCGAAAACATAAAATTGTATCGACTATCTATTTATTTGATACCTTCATCTCTCAGAAATGCAAAACAGCAAACAAAAATCCGCTCAAATTTATATTTGATTTTCTGAGAAGTATAAACTGAGCCTTGAGCACTTGATAAATGCATCAATCGACACGCGATTGAAACAAAGCAATCAAAAACACCTTCACGGAAGTTAGAAAGTCGAAATCTAAAAGGAGGCGAGAAGAAAGTTTATGAAAGGACAAAAGACTGATTAAGGTTTAGTAAATTTAACTGTCTAGCGGGTCAATTGTAATACCAAGCAAAATCAAATCGAAACTGAAAGAACTTTTTTTAGTGACTGGTCGACTAGCATAAAGCTCGACTAGCATTCATGTTTGAAAACGAATAACTGTAGTGGACTAGCATAATTTGTGTGAAAAAATTTCTTTACCTATTCCAGAAACACTATTCCTTTCTTCAGTTGAATACTCGTTCGTTCTGCATTGTTGCTCCAGCTGCAAAACTCCAGTGCGTTTTCTGTTTTCATCGATTGTTTTATATAATAGTACCCCTATTTGAAATCATTATTTGACTGACTGCTTTCTCCTGCTTTGCAGCCAACCAAAAGTTTTTCGGCGGCATCTTTCTCTGCGGTTGCTTCGGACAGCTGCGCTTTCAATTTCGTCTGCTGTTCTAGGTTATCACAGGCTTCTACATACAAACCAAACAAGTTTTCCAACCTGCAAAGTGTCGTTCTTAGCTGTTCAAATGTGTCCAGTGGTTTTACGATGAGTTCTTTGACGTATTGAAAACGAACACAATCCATCGCCTGCACAAAAACTGAGAAGTATGAGGAAACTAATGCATGGTTCAAACTATGGGATGTTGCATGAGTTATGATGCCAGACTGGTATTTCAAATAAATTAATAGATCTCGATCTCAGTGTCAAATAACAGAAACCAGAAACCATTTGAAAATTGTGTTTACCGCTGCCATGCATTTTCTGTTTGATGTATAAATATCAACTCTTATATTATTTCTGGCAACTATATGCCCTAATTTTGTTGATGAAATCTTGGCAACACATGTTTGCATTAGTTTTTCAATAGTAACAACCTAGCTTTCACGGCTACTGTGCTAAATTAAGTGGGTCACGTGTCCTTCACTTATTGTGATTGATCAAGTTTTAATTACGACACCAAGCTCCGTTTTGAAATTAAGCACAACGTTGAGCTACCCGGCCTCTAAAAGCCCCTAAAATTGCGTTTAAAATTGATACGACACGTGTCTATTGAATCCAATAAAGTTTTTATGCAATCCAAAAGTGAATTATGCCTACACGAATCAATTGAATCCAATTAGGAGCAAAAATAAATAGTTGTCTTGTTTTCACGCCCTTTTTTAAACAAGACTGCTCGTAGTTCAGGTCAAAGCACTGAAAACTCTGACTACTCCTTAATTGGTATCGAATAGTTGTTACTACAGAAAATTGTTCAAAAACCCCAATTTTTGATCAATAAAAAACAAGTGTAAAAAATAAGGTAACATGACATTAATACGGCCAATTAGCTTGCGTCAAATCAGTTTGGAACATTTTTAGGCTTTTACAAACTTAATACGAATGTTTAGCTTACCTTAGTTCAACTTGGAACGAGTTGATAGTGCTTGAGAAATCACCAGGCATAAAAATCGCCTTTACGCATTCAACATCATAAACAAAAACCTTCACAGTGCACAGAAGTTAGTCCAAAGCATGGCCCAAATGGCAATTTTTTCAACCCCCAGACCTTTAAAACAATAATTGAGGGTGAAAAGTTTTTTTTTTAAATTTGAAATCGCGAAGTTGAAACCTTAATGGCTTATGCAAATATTTTTTGTGAAATCTATGATTTCGATCTTTGAAATTTGACTGAATAACAACTCAAAGCATAACAAGGATAGCCGGTTAATGTGCAAGTAGCACAGAATATTTTGACCATATTCTAGAAAAAAAATACAAAAAAAAAACGTTTTTTTTTTTCAAAATAATTTCGTTTTGTACCGGCGTGGTGTCAAAACAAGATCTGAACGAAGATAACCCAATTCCCTAATTTTTAGTGGTAACTGCTTTTGCGTAGAAAACAAAACGAGAAAACTAAACCACTTCTGAATACAAAGTTTTTCCCCTTTTTTCGACCGGTGGGAAGAAAACTTGGTCAATTTAGGTCGTTCAAAATCCAATAATAAAGATAGTTCAAAAAAAAGCGATCAAAAACTTCAGAAACAACTAATGAACTAAACGCAGATGAAATGAGTGTATTTTACAAGCAATATTTAAGAGAAACTCAATCAAAACATTTACAATATAACCGCGATTGGTACAAAAGAAACTTTTACATAGTTTATTTGTCGGTTATGGTAAACTTCTTCAAATTATTTCACCCTAAAAAGTTGAAAAAATAAAATTTTGCAAGACTCAATCATTCCAGCTGAAGTTACACTTTCTTGTTGTGTTTGTAATTCTTATCGGCGTTTTTAAACAGCATCAGCTGTCCGCTTAACCAAGCCCGTTCATTTCTGCAATTTTTTTGGATCTATTTGGATTATAAGCAAAATGGACAAAAATTGATTCTTGGTTGTTCAGTTTGTTAGGAAATAGCTCCCAAATATTTTCATAAGTTTCACCAAATGTATTTAGATCAAGGTCTCAGTTTCGGATTCAAGGAATTTCGTTTCCCTTATTCGTGTTTACATTAGTTAGACGATTCAGGTTTTGGTTGAATTTTGCGAAGTGCCTGTATTACCGCTTGTGAGTAAACTAAATTAAAAATTTAAGGCTTGTTTCATTAACTCTAATGGTCAAAAGGGCTATGCTAGTTGAATTACATAATGTTTTCATTGATATCAGTTCAATGGTCCTTATAGTCAAACGATGAGCAAACTTCGTGTGAGCTACTCTGATCCGCCGGAATTGAACTCTCGGCTATTGCTCTTTCTAGAAACTGAAAGGCACCAATTTTCTCTGTTTTTAATGGCCTGTTCAGTGCTCTTTTTGCCCAATCTAAGAGACTTTTTCTCTCACCATTGAATTCTGAAAACATAGAATTTTCGATGCTCAAAATTTTGTTGTATATTGTTTGCTCATATCCTCCAGTTTTTTCCCACCAAATTTCCATTGCATCAGCCATTAGTTGCTCTTCATCCAAACTTGTTTTAGTATTAAGGGATCCGCTCCGAGAGTTCACATTACAGTTTTTGCTTTGTATACAAATTTGGAGTAAATTGGCTAGACGCATAGCTTCCTGAACTTGTTGAAGCATTTCAACTTCTGTTTGTTTATCAGTCCCGGCTGCTACTCCCATAGCAAGGTCTCGCTCTAGGATATACGTTACGTAATCTTTTTCTGATTCCGTAATATTTCTTAGAGCTATGGAATCCAATCTATGCATGATTTTTGTTGCTTCCAAAATCTTACCAAACAGAGTCTGTTTTTGCGACCGATAGTTGTCATACATCATGCACAGAAGTTTTATTTCTGCGTTAGGATCTTTCGTGGGAATATTATGCTTCTCAAGAAGAGACTCGATGGTTTGGTTCACTGGAGTCGAAATTCTCTTGTACATTCGGAACTCTTTCATATGATCGCTCTCTCCGCATTTACCATCGCACATTCTACACTTCATGACAGAGTCGAACAGCACGAAACAACAACACCAGTAGTTCCAAAGACTCTTGCATCCAATGCAGCACGTGTGCTGGCATTTCTTGCAGTTCATGCAATATTTTGACACCGTTTCGAGAACTTTTCGGTGGGCTCTGTAAGTGAAATGAAGATTATGAAACTCCTGTGAAACTCTGACGTTTGAAATGACAGACAACAAAGCAGCTGTACAAGCATCCATATCTTGAAGCATCAGTAGTGTTTCCTTAATTTTCCACAATAGATCTTTAAGAACTAGTGTCAAAGAAGCACGCTCGCTCAAGACTTCTTTCGTAAGATGCAAGTCAGTGACTTCGATTTTTTCCAGCGTTTTGAAGAAGCGATTCATCGCATTATTGTTTTGCTCCCAAAATATTTTGTTCATTGCTGTTGGTTTTCCGTAAACGCTCTGATTGTTCAGGCTAAGGTACTCGATAAAAGGAATTTTGTCAGCTTTTACGCATTCAAGAGCTGGCGGATTGTCTTCATCGCCACAATATGTGAACAAAATAGTCAGATTATTTTTCAAGTCAGCCCCAAAGAGACTGAGAACCTGATCTATGCAATACTTTTCCTCCTTCGTCAGTTTACTTGAAGATGACTTCATAATATACGCCACCGATGCTATCTTGTCAACTGTGCAAGCTTGTTCGTTTTCAAAAAACTGTCTGATACTGTGTGTAATTTCCTGGTCCCTGAATATCCCGCGCGGGTCGGCGAATCCCGGGGTGTCAATGAGCAGAATGCTTTCGTGAAATCGAAACCCAGACTGCCATTGCAGTTCGTAGCCGGTCACCCAAGAGGTCATGCTCATTGATTCGGAGTGTGAATCCATCCCGCTTTCTTGTTTTTCCTGAGTCTTATTCACCAATTCGAATCTGAAAGTGTCTTCGAACTCAACTCCGTAAAGGTAATTTACAAATGCGTTTATCATTAAAGTCTTGCCCGACCCTGTTATCCCTGTCATCATAATAACTTTGATTGGTCTGAGCATCAAGTTCAGGTCTTTGGACCCAACGCTGATTCTTCTGATCTTTGATTTTGGCTCCTCGTAAGTCAAACAAGTCGGAAGTCTAAATGTCTGCGGCATCGTGGAGCTGAGTTCAACTAAAGAACTTTTACTTTTCATGCGTCTCGCCAGAAGTTTTGATTCCACCCGTTCAGTGCCTCCCAGATAATTTTCCAGAAACACTATTCCTTTCTTCAGTTGAATAATCGTTCGTTCTGCTTTGTTGCTCCAGCTGCAGAACTGCAGTGCGTTTTCGGTTTTCATCGGTTGTTTCATATAATAGTACCCCGATTTGAAATCATTATTTGGCTGACTGCTTTCTCCTGCTTTGCAGCCAACCAAAAGTTTTTCGGCGGCATCTTTCTCTGCGGTTGCTTCGGACAGCTGCGCTTTCAATTTCGTCTGCTGTTCCAGGTTATCACAGGCTTCTACATACAAACCAAACAAGTTTTCCAACCTGCAAAGTGTCGTTCTTAGCTGTTCAAATGTGTCCAGTGGTTTTACGATGAGTTCTTTGACGTATTGAAAACGAACACAATCCTTCGCCTACACAAAAACTGAGAAGTATGAGGAAACTAATGCATGGTTCAAACTTTGGGATGTTGCAAGAGTTATGATGCCAGACTGGTATTTCAAATAAATTAATAGATCTCGATCTCAGTGTCAAATAACAGACAAAAATTGCATCATTGGACCCAGAAACCATTTGAAAATTGTGTTCACGGCTGCCATGCGTTTTCTGTTTGATGTATAAATATCAACTCTTATATTATTTCTGGCAACTATATGCCCTAATTTTGTTGATCAAATCATGGCAACACATATGTTTGCATTAGTTTTTCAACAGTAACAACCTAGCTTTCACGGCCACTGTGCTAAATTAAGTGGGTCACGTGTCCTTCAATTATTGTGATTGATCAAGTTTTAATTACGACACCAAGCTCCGTTTTGAAATTAAGCACAACGTTGAGCTACCCGGCCTCTAAAAGCCCCTAAAATTGCGTTTAAAATTTATACGACACGTGTCTATTGAATCCAATAAAGTTTTTATGCAATCCAAAAGTGAATTATGCCTACACGAATCAATTGAATCCAATTAGGAGCAAAAATAAATAGTTGTCTTGTTTTCACGCCCTTTTTTAAACAAGACTGCTCGTAGTTCAGGTCAAAGCACTGAAAACTCTGACTACTCCTTAATTGGTATCGAATAGTTGTTACTACAGAAAATTGTTCAAAAACCCCAATTTTTGATCAATAATGAACAAGTGTAAAAAATAAGGTAACATGACATTAATACGGCCAATTAGCTTGCGTCAAATCAGTTTGGAACATTTTTAGGCTTTTACAAACTTAATACGAATGTTTAGCTTACCTTAGTTCAACTTGGAACGAGTTGATAGTGCTTGAGAAATCACCAGGCATAAAAATCGCCTTTACGCATTCAACATCATAAACAAAAACCTTCACAGTGCACAGAAGTTAGTCCAAAGCATGGCCCAAATGGCAATTTTTTCAACCCCCAGACCTTTAAAACAATAATTGAGGGTGAAAAGTTTTTTTTTTAAATTTGAAATCGCGAAGTTGAAACCTTAATGGCTTATGCAAATATTTTTTGTGAAAACTATGATTTCGATCTTTGAAATTTGACTGAATAACAACTCAAAGCATAACAAAGATAGCCGGTTAATGTGCAAGTAGCACAGAATATTTTGACCATATTCTAGAAAAAAAATACAAAAAAAACGTTTTTTTTTTTCAAATTAATGTCGTTTTTTACCGGCGTGGTGTCAAAACAAGATCTGAACGAAGATAACCCAATTCCCTAATTGTTAGTGGTAACTGCTTTTGCGTAGAAAACAAAACGAGAAAACTAAAACACTTCTGAATACAAAGTTTTTCCCCTTTCTTCGAACGGTGGGAAGAAAACTTGGTCAATTTAGGTCGGTCAAAATCCAATAATAAAGATAGGTCAATAAAAAGCGATCAAAAATCCAAATGTTTTCACCAGATGCTATCATAATTTTGATTTCAATAATTTTGATAATTTTGATTTCTGGAATTCGATGCAAACTCAGAGAAATTAGAGGAAAATGTCTGGGATTCAGTTCGCTACTAAATTTTGCAAGCCCTGATCGTGGTAAAAACGAATAATTTATTTTCCTGTTTAATAGCAATTGATTTTAGGATACATCCCCTAAAACATGCACAAGAAAACGATTTTATGTTTCCATTGGTTTCACCGTCAATTTTTATTATAGCATTTCACTGATAATTGTCTGCAGCGTATCAAATGCCGTCAAGTCACTTTAATTGCGCAAGTCACTTTAATTGCGGCGTCATGGATATCCGAATTTTGAAGAAAAATGAATTTTATGTCGGAAATAGTCTCAAAAGGCGTGTCAGTTGAAGTTTTTTGCAACAGCCAAACAAATCAACTAAAAATTAAAAAACTAGAAGTTTTTCCGAAAAACCGCAAAGAAAATTAAGCCATTTTTGGATAAGTGATATCAGATACTATCACGAATCTGATCCGATCACCGACGATATAACTGATCTGAAGTATAAACAAGAAATGTCTGCCAAAAGTGCAAAATTGTTGTGAAAACGATTTCAGAGCAATTGATGAAGTCGGTTTCTACAACAATTTTTACTTTTCGAAATCAATTTCATTAAGCTGGAAGATGTGCGAGTAGAAATTCCGAATCCAGTGGCGTGTTCGGAAATTTTCGAGGGAAATT